GAGGCCACTCTGTGCCTCAGTTTCCCTACCTATAACATGAACACATTAACAGTACCTACTCATAGGGTTGTTCTAAGAATTGAGTTACTTTAGCTACAAAAGCACTCAGCACATTTCAAGCAAATAACAGTTGTATTATCCCTATTGAAGGCACAAACCCTGGTTTACCCCAGGAAGAATTCTGACCTTGAGATTCCCAGGTTCTTTGCCAGAATAGAGCTGTCTTGTTGTATCAATAGCCCAGAGCTTAGGCCCTTAAGTATCATTCTGTATTTCATGCCCATAGAACTTAGATTCTCACCTAGGACCATCTGACGAAACAGGAGTTGCCGTGCTTACACCTGCACAAATCAGACTTTCAAAATTTTTGCTCCAAAACAAAAGATTTTTGCCTTCAAATCATTCAAGAACAATGGCACCTTGCTCACACCATTGATGCCCAGGCAGACAGGATGAGCATCTTTTTGCACTCAGGTGTTGGGTCATGCCACTTACAAAGTGATCTTCTCCCCGCAGAACCCACCACCTCCACAAGTGTCTGCACACCCATAGGAGAGGACAGTCAGAAGTCACCTTTTTCCTACTAAATTAATCTTTTCATTTCACCCAATAAGAATATCCAGCCAATCTGATTTGGGTTTTAATTTTTTCCCCCCTCCATCTCAAGCACCAGAAAACTTTTTTTTTTCACCCTGAAAGTCCTTCCAACAGGGCTAAAAGCAATATGGATTTGCACCTTGGCCAGGATGTAGCTGATACTGATTCAGCCATTACTCTGGGCCAGGAAGGCACCAACGATTCCTAATTACCACCTCATAATGAAGGGGATATTATGATTAACCCCTTTTAAAGGATAAAGAAACTGAGGCTCAAAGAAATGAAGCCACTGGTGCAAAGCCAGCCGGCTTGTAAGTGGTAGGGCCAGAACTTGAGTTCCCAAACCCCAGGGCTAGCTTAGCGCAAAGATTTTAACAGGAGGAACAGCAAGGGCTGCGCTCAGGGAACCACATTACCGCAGGCAACTGTCCCTCATTCACTTCCCCTTTCTCAGCGGACTTGGCCCCAAACGAAGCCCGTCCCACCAGGCTCCAGAGGGCAGACAGGGTGTGGGGAGAAGTTCCCGCGCTCCTCCTGGGCGCTCAACCTACAGGGGTCTGCAGGTTGATAAAAGCTCCAAAATAAAAACACTCCAGATCAAAGGGCGGCACACAGTAGGAACTCAGGAGAGCTTCTGGGCCAGGTTGCCAAAGCAACAGAGCAGACTGCACTACTCCCCTTTCTTTTCTTGTCAAGTTAAAAAAAAAAGAAAAAGGCCTAACTAGCCTCAAAGCAGGAGGAGGAGGGCCTAAGGTGCTCAGGGGAAGTGGGTCGGTGGGAGGCTAGCAGAAATGCGGGGTTGCTGGGGAGCGGGCTGGGCGCCCCCTGGGCAGCCCGCGCGGCGCCTGGCTCATAGTAGGTGCTCCTCCAAACGCGCTGAATGAATGAATGAGAGGCGCGGCGGGCGTCAGCGCAGCCCAGGGGCCGCCCCGCCCGCGCCGCGCTAGCGGGCAAGGTCCAAGGAGAAGCGCCGGGCGCTGAGCAGAGCGCGCCCGAGGCCCCGCGCCCCCGCCGTGCGCGGGCAGCGGCCGCGGGGCCCGACCACGGCCTGGCGCGGGGGCGGGGGCGGGGGCCCGCAGGCGGCAGGCCCCGGGGCGCAGGCCGGCCTCCCCCCTCCCCCCTCCCCGCCGCCCCGCAGCCCCGGAGGCCGCGCACGGCCCAGGCCGGCCCCCGGCGCCAGGTGCGCGGAGGCCGGGGCAAGGTGACCGCAGCCTCGAGCCCGGCGCCCACCTTCTGAGCGGCGCGCACGTTGTCCTCGCCGAACAGGCTGCTGACGCTCTGCGAGAAGGTGTGGACCGTGCGGCGGTAGCTGTTCTTCTCGGTGCCGCCGCGGCCCCGCGCCCCCTGCGCGCCCGGGGCCAGCAGCCCGAGGAGCAGCAGAAGCAGCAGGAGCCCGGCCCGGGCCCGGGGCCCGCCCGAGGCGCGCGCGCCCATCCTGGGGCCGGCGGGATGCGGGGTCGCGAGCGGGGCTGAGGGCCGCCCCGGGGACGCCGCGGCTCCGGCGGGGACCGCGCTGGCGCGCTCGGGGGGCTGCGCGCCGCGCCTCTGTCGGCCGCCGCCGCCGCCGCCGTCGCAGCGCCACCTGCCCCGCCCCGCGCGCAAAGCCGCGGCGGCCCTGCCCACGCCTCGCCCCGCCCCCGGACGCGGGGTCCCGGCCAGCGACCCCCGCAACGTCCCCGGCAGCGTCCCTGCGAGGGGCCGCGGAGGCCGGAGGCTGCTTTGTCTCCCCGCCCCACTGAGTGTGTGTGTGTGGGGGGGGTTAACCTTTAAAAAATATATACTAATTTTTATTTTTGACTTTTCGGTAAAAAGCAGCCCGTGCCCCTAAAACTTGCAACGGCCTCAGCAAGGATAATGACCTTAACTGATTGGAGAACCTGATACAAACGTGTCACGGAGTTTATAACGGTCCCCAATCCTTGGCCACCGTTGGCGATGGCAAGGGCCCCAGCCCATCCATTCATCCATTCTGAAATTTGGAAATGAAGGGGAAGCAGCGAGCATCCCTCCTGCCCTTCCTGAACGAACTGTAATTCAGCCTCACGGAACAGGTGAGGAGGGAAAGTTTTCTGAAGATGAGGTCCAGCTGGTTAAAAAAGGAGGGCGCGAGAGAGTTAGAGAATCATGTTGCACCCCGTTCGTGAAATGATAGATGCAGGAGCCGGGCAGCAAGAGACTGAAACCAAGACGGTGACTTGAAATGGAGAGGCCACGCTGTCCTGACCGGGCGCGCCCTACCCTACTAGCAGGAAGTACCTGAGCCACTTACGATGGATTCTTGCCAAAACACTTTGAACCCTCACCCGATCTAACCTCTACATCTAACCCGACAGTTTACAGGAAATAGGGGGGATGGAGGAGTAAATGAGGAGAAGCCTCCAGTCAAATCCAGAACGTGGAGCCTTCTACAGGGCAGACGACCCAGTTTCTTCAATAAGTAAATGGTATAAAAAGTGAAGGAGGATGATTGATTTTAAAGGACTGAAGAGCCATCATTAACCAAATGCAACACAAGGGCCTAAAGCAAACCGTGACCAACCAGACATTTTTTCTGAGAGGGCCAGGGAAATAAAACTTAACCTTTGCCAATCCAAAGAGTGAAAAATTGTATCTTACTTTTGAACTTACACTTTCTCTGGATTCCTGGTGAAGTTTTCATATACTTATTGACCACATATTTTAAGGTTTTTTTTTTTTTTTAAGATTTTATTTATTTGACAGGGAGCACTAGAGGGAGCGTGAGAGGGGGAAGCAGGCTCCCCGCTGAGCAGGGAGCCCAATGTCGGACTTGATCCCAGGACTCAGGGACCATGACCTGAGCTGAAGGCAGATGCTTAACCAACTGAGCCACCCAGGCTCCCCGTAAGTTCTTATTTTTTAAGAAAACTTTTTTTTTACTGAAGTATAGCGTACAAACAGAAAAATACCCAAATCATAAGGTGCTTTTTTATGAGTTTAAAAAAACAACACATGAGGTAACCAGCACCCAGGCCCACTTACCAGCCCCTGGGGAAAACTCCCTTTGTCCTCTCCCACTCACTATTTCCCCTCCAAAATTTAGGGAATTCATTTTGCCTGTTTTTGAACATGATGTACATGAGATCACACAGTATGCTCTTTTGTGATTGGTTTCTTTTTTCAACATATTTATGAGAGGTCTTTCTCATTATATTTTCTGGAGATAATCCTTTGGTATATAATATTTTAGGAGAAAATATAGGAGAATGTACTATTACCTACTTAATTTTAAAATGGGCACACTTTTTATTTAAGTAAAGATATTCAAGGGGAAAACTGCAGACCACTATCATCCTAAGCTATAAAACCTACGGAACCAGAGGTTTGATATGCTAATTATGTTTTCCCCCACAAAATCCATTTAATATATATCTTTATAAACATGTTCATACATTCACTACCTAAATCCTCTCATGCACCACCTGTGTGTGTGTGTGGAGATTTGTTTTTGCTTTTGTTTTTGGGGGGCAGGAGGGAAGATAATGCAATCACATTCTTCATTCCTTCCTATATTCAATAACTACTTATCTACTCTGCAGCCAGGTCTCGTTCTAGGTTCTAAAATTCTAAAATCCTAATGCCTTCACCTTTTTCTTTCTTTCTTTTTTTTTTTTTTGGTAATATATTTTAAATGTCTGCCCTTAACAAATTAATGCTTTTTTTTTTTAAGATTTTATTTATTTATTTGAGAGAGAGAGAATGAGAGACAGAGAGCATGAGAGGGAGGAGGGTCAGAGGGAGAAGCAGACTCCCTGCCGAGCAGGGAGCCCGATGCGGGACTCGATCCCGGGACTCCAGGATCATGACCTGAGCCGAAGGCAGTCGCTTAACCAACTGAGCCACCCAGGCGCCCCAAATTAATGCTTTTAACAGAAAAAAAATGCTGCCAATAGAACTGTTCCATATGCAAGATAATTACAGGATCCAGAAAATACATTGTTTCCAAGTGCGCTACAGACAATGTGATATGGTAATGAGAGTTTAAAGCCCGGGCCTAATAGATGCTTTCTTCTCTTAGTGCTTCTGTCCCTGTAATGGAAACATTTGTGCCTTTTTACTACACAACTAATTATGTCTCTTATAGGAATATCAAAAAGTCCAAATGAACAAAAAACAAGAGGGAAGAAGTTTGCAATGGGGGCGGGGTTATATTTCAAAAGGTGACAAAACAGTCCCACTCCCAAGTAACTAAATTAGTATTAGCAGATGACCCAGATTTAGAGACTCAGCCACACCACGTGCGAACCACTCAGGGCTTAAATTCAGGCCTCCCCTGCGGCCTCAGGCTTCGCTCCCGCCTCTAAATTGGCCCCGCCCCGCCCTTTCGCAGGCCCCGCCCCCAAGCCCGCCCCCAGGCCCCGGTTGTTCCCAGCTCTCGCGAGAACGCATCCCGGAAGTTCGGGGCCTGAGCCTGGGGTCTGAGAGACCACGTGGGCTGGGCTTCGGGGTGAGCGGCTGCCTCGGTCCCGCCGGAACCCGGGCAGTACTGGGCGTCATGGGGAAGCTGCGCCGGCGCTACAACGTCAAGGGGCGCCTACAGGCGACCCCAGGCGCCTCGAAGGGCCCCCCGGAGCCGCCCCCCGTGCGGCTGGAACTAGAGGGTAAGGCGTCCGGGCCGGAGCCTGGGCCCGGGCTGGCCTGCGCCCTGCCTCCGCGACTCTGGGGCGGGGGGACCAGGAGGAACCTCCTCTCCTGAGATGATCCAAAGAGTAGGACACAGTGACAGTCTAGTTTTAACTGTGACTTTGGGACAGTCCCGAGGCTTTCTCGCCTGTGGAGTCCGGCACTAGTTTTTTTTAAGTTTTATTTACGTTCTCTCCACGCCCAACGTGGGGCTCGAACTCTGAGATCAGGAGATCCCCGCTCTTCCGACCGAGCCAGCCAGGCGCCCCCAGCCCTAGTTTAGTAGCATGGGGATCGTGCGCAAGAAAATAAAGTAATCCCATCTATTTCTCTGGCTTCTATTATAATCTTATTGCCAGCGACCCCTGAATATGTTTTTTTTTTTTTTTAAGATTTTATTTATTTATTTGAGAGAGAGATAGCGAGAGCAGGAACACAAGCAGGGGGAGTGGGAGAGGGAGAAGCGGGCTTCCTGCCGAGCAGGGAGCCCGATGCGGGACTCGATCCCAGGACCCTGGGATCATGACCTGAGCCGAAGGCAGACGCCCAACGACTGAGCCACCCAGGCGCCCCCTGAATATGTTTTTTAGCCCAGACATTTCTGCTCAGCTCCAGGCTGCTTGACACTTCTGCTCAGACGCCCCCTCGTTAGTAGGAGCGCCCACTGTGTGCCAGGGTTTATTGTAGGAGACGTAGCAGGCGTTTTTTTGTTTTTGTTTTTCGTTTTAATCTCTGCCCTGCTGAGCTTAGATGCTTGTGGGAGGAGACAGCCAGCCTCTCCTAACTTTGTGACACAAGGACGGACAAAGCCAGAGGCTAGTGGAGTCAGACGCTGTCCACAGGGAGCACAGGTTTTTTTTTTTTGTTTTTTTTTAAAGATTTTATTTATTTGACAGAGAGACACAGCGAGAGAGGGAACACAAGCAGGGGGAGTGGGAGAGGGAGAAGTAGGCTCCCCACGGAGGAGGGAGCCGGATGCAGGGCTCGATCCCAGGACGCTGGGATCTTGACCTGAGCCGAAGGCAGACGCTTAACGACTGAGCCACACAGGCGCCCCACACAGGCGCCCCGGGAGCACAGTTTTGACCTCAGGCGTCCCCCGAAAGCAGGACCACGTTCTGAGGGAGCGCTGTTGCAGCACATACTCTCCCTACTGGCACCCCGCTCCCTCTCCCCTGACCACTAGGATGCAGGTGCCCTGGCTCACGGAGGAGTCTGACACGTGGCGGGTGCTGGGCAGACAAGTTGAGAGAACAGTGACGGGCCTGCACCCCCATTCCTGTGTGGGCATTCAGGGGGTCTCACACATGGGGCAGGGTGCCCATGAGAGGTAGCACGGAGCCGCCTCAGAGAACATGGTATTAATGTGGACTCTGGTCCCTGGGCTGGGGGTTCAGGCAAGTGTGTCTTTTCAGATAAAGACAAGTTGAAAGGAGTAGATGCAAGTAATGCACTCGTTTTGCTGGGAAAGAAGAAAAAGAAGCCTAAAGCCCCTCCTCCGTCAAAGAAGGAGAAGAAGCCTCTGACCAAGAAAGAGCGGAAAATGCTGCAGAAAATCTTAGAACAGAAGGAGAAAAAGAGCCAGGTAGGCCTGTTCTGACAGGGTCTGCACACAGCTCCCCACACTGGGGAGGGACGAGGTATGTGTCCCCCAACTTGATCTCTGCCGCATGACTGGCCGAACTTTCCGGAATGAGGGGCATGCTAGGCACATGTGGCTAGCATGGTTGAGGAATTGAATTTTTTATGTGATTTAATTTTAATTCGAATGGCTTCCTGTGGCTAGCAGCCCCCATACCTGACTCAGCTCCAGAGCCTCCAGACCCTCCAGGAGCTCTGTCAGTCTGGATGAACCCAGGTTTGTTGAGGCCAGATGTTCGTTAACTGGGGAGTCAGCCCATCAGCATGCTCATTTCTTCTTTATTTGTCTTAATCATCTTGTGTCACTTATTTTTTAACTTTATTCTGGAGAATTTCAACCTTTCTCCATACTTTTTTAAGGAATACATTTTATAATGGGAAATTCCAGCATCTGCAGAAATGGAGAACCTAATGCACTGAGCTCACTGGTACCTATCACCAGTGTCAGCAGCTGTCAACCCACGGTCCCCCGGTCATCTCCACAGCTGGCCACTTTCCCACCTCCTGGGTCAAAGCCTGGGTAGCATAAATCTGTATTTGGGTCCCGGAGTTGCTGAAAGAGAGGACCACAAACTGGGTGGCTCACAACAGGGATGTATTCTGTTGTAGTTCTGGAGGCCAAGGGTCGAAATCAAGGTGTTGGGCAGGGCCCTGCTCCCTGTGTGGTGGCGCTCCCCAGCTGTCTCTGGTGGGAAAAAATATAGCGCAGGATTTTAAAAGGACACCCTTGCGGCAAAGTGAGCCTCCCTGTGCCAAGGGCTCTAGGGCCTGAGTAATATATACCTTCCTACCATCCAGCTTGGGGTGGCCCCAGGCATTCTTGGCCTCTGGCCACGTCCCTCCAGTCTTGGCCCCTGTCTTCACATGGCTGTCCCCTCTCTGTGTGTTTTATAAGGACACTTGTCTTGGGATTTAGGACCCACCTGAATAATGCAGGATCTCACCTCGAGATCTTTGACTTAATTACATCTGAAGAGACCCTTTTTCCAAGTAAGATCTCGTTCTGGGACATGGCATATCTTGGGGGGGGGGGCACTATTCAACCTCGTAGGCATGATATTTTATCCATGTATATTTACAATTGTATCTCTAAAATAAGGACCATTTAATACACCTAAATTTTTAAAAAATATCAAATATCCAGTAAATGGTCGAATTTCCAGTTGTTTCATAAATGCTCCCCTACCCCACCTCTTTTGTTTTTTCCCCCCTAGTCATTTATTTGTTGAAGTTAATTAGGTTGGTTGTCTCTAGAGTTTCCCATAGTCTGCATTTTTAAAACTTCATCTCTGTGGTAAACTTAAACACATCCCTTTGCCCTTCCAAATTTCCTGGAAATGGTATTGGGCTCTGGGGCAGTGGTGCGCGGCCGGGACAGTTTTGCCCCAGAGGACCGCTGGCCATGTCTGGAGACACCCGGTGGAGGCGTGAGGCGCTGTCACACGGCCTCCAGCGCACAGAACAGTAGGACGTTCTCTGGCCCACAGTGCCTACAGCACAGAGACCGAGGAACCCCCATCTGGAGACTTCATGGGATTCCCATTTGCCTTTCTGTCGAGGCCACCACCCAGGGTCCCCTGTTCGCAGCCCCGACACTCAGGCCCTAGAGCCCTTGGCACAGGGAGGCTCACTTTGCCGCAAGGGTGTCCTTTTAAAATCCTGCGCTGTATTTTTTCCCACCGTTCTGTACACGGTTTTTCCTTTTATTGATTGCAAAATACATAGACGTATAAAAGTGCATAAACATAATTTCAAGAGTAATAAAACTCCTGACCTGCTCACCAGGGGAAGGAGGCCACCTGTCCCTGCCCCCACGTGCTGCTCTCTTGAAGGCAGCGTGGGGACCCCTCGCCGGCACACCAGAGCCTCCCCTACCCTTTGAGACTGCTGGGGAGCGCCGCATCCCATACACGGGCCCTCCTTTATTGGGTCTCCCTCGGATGGGCATCTGGATGGTGGATAATCCCTCCTGACACGCAGTGATGCAGAGACAGCCTGGTTCATGCAGCGCCAGACTCCGTCTGGGGGTAGAAAGCCCCCCCAGCTCACGGGGAGGCAGGACCGCCACGCAGCACTTGTAACGTGACCTTTGGGTTAAAAAGACTAGTTGTTAGCGAGGCTGAAACCTGATGTAGAGTCTCGCTTCCTTTCCGAAGAGAGGGTCGTCCTGCCAGATGACTGACACACTCGTTTCCTTCCCCAGCGAGCAGAGATGCTGCAGAAATTGAGCCAAGTCCAGGTTTCGGAAGCCGAGCTGAGACTGTTCTACACCACGTCCAAGCTGGGCACTGGGGACCGCATGTACCACGGCAGAGAGTGAGTGCGCCGGGCCCTCCTGCCAGCGCCCCGGGGGTGAGCAGACATGCGCAGTGGCAGTGGGGGGAGGCCCGGACACTGCCAGAACCCCGGTGACACACAGGGCTGCAGAGTTTCTCGGTCCAGCCATGTCGGGGCTTCCTGCGATGCAGAGTCCTGTGATGCAGAGTCCTGCGATACAGGTTTCCAGCTCTGGCACACACGAGGAGGCCAGCATTTGCTTCCAGGCGGTCAGGGATTAGGTTTGGCCTATCGGCAGGTTTTGTCGGGTTTATATCCTGTCACGAAGGCATTCAGGTCTTCCGCCAGTGTGTTCATCCAGGCTCCCGGGGTGGCCGCAACAAAACGCCGCAAACCCGGTGCCTTAAAACAAGGGAAATGTAGCCTCTCGTGGTGTTGAAGGCCAGAACCCCAGCCATCAGGGTTGGGCCCTTCTGGAAGCTGGAGAATTCCTTCCTTGCCTCTCTCCCGGCTTCTGGTGGTCTCCAGCAGTCCTGGGCGTTCCGTCCTTGCCAACCTGACACTGAAGTTGGCTTGTCTCCTGGCGTATCTCCATGTCTTCCTCGGTCTTCTCCTGTCTGTGTCTGTGTCTCTCTTCTCTCCTTGTGAGGACACCGGGCATTGGATTTAGGGCCCACCCTGATCCAGGATGCCCTCATTTTACCTTACTTACATCTGCAAAGACCCTGTTTCCAAAAGGGTAATATTCTGAGTTTCTGGACATGAATTCTGGGGAGGCACTGTTCAACCCAGAACAACCAACATTCGAGAAGTAGATGTCACATGAAAATCCAGGTTCGTACCTGGTCTTGAGCCGCACCAGCTGGCATTGCTGCAGGGCAGCTGAGCCTTAGATGGAGCCCACGTGCCCCCCCTACCCTAGACCCGCCCCACGTACTGCTGTCTTACTCTTAGCCTTCTCCTTTAAGCATTGTGCATTTATGGCTGCTGTGGGTGCAAACTAGGTCCAGGCTCTCCTCCAGGTCCTGGGGGTAGAGGGGTGCACAAGAGTAAAATAATAAGTAAGCTTCCCTTAAGAAGCTTACATTCTAATGGTGGGGAGATGGACAATAATCAAATGACTATGTCTATATCTAGTGCTGGCAGGCACTAGGCAGAAAATAAAGCGGGGAAAGAGGGTGGAGGGAAATGGGAGAGTCTCCCTGTTGGGTGACATTTGGGTCAAGTGAGGGAGAATGTATGTGCAGAGAGCAGGAATGGCAAGTGCAAAGGCCCTGAGGTGGGAAAGGGTGTGGCCTTTGGATCCTGACTTCTGTGGGGTATATAGCAACACAGAGCTGCATCAGGTCCATTGTAGGACTTTCGTGCCTGACTTTTGGCTGTCCCAGCAGGAAGTCTGACAAGATCGAAGCCCAGGGGCAGGAGAAGATCAGCAGCCTCAGCGGGGCCCACCGGAAGCGCTATCACCAGGAAGAGGAGGAATCGGAGTCCTCAGTGGAGTCTGAACCCGATGAGGCCCCTGCCGCTGAGCTGGTGGAGACTGGTGCAGGGAATGGGAGCCCAGGGCCCAGTAGCCAACCCTGTCTGGCGGGGACTACCTCGGCACCTCCAGCAGTGGCCTCCACCCTGGCCAGGCCCCTGGCGAAGCCTGCCGTCTTCATTCCTGTGAACCGCACCCCTGAAATGCAGGTTTGCTGCTCTGGTGTTGGTGATCGGAACTCAGGCTAGCACAGTGGGGGTCTGAGGGTGTGGAAGGGGGGACATGCCTGATTCGAGCAGGTCACATCACCTCCTATGCCCCAGCGGCCTCGCTTGGAATGGGAACAGCTGTACCGACCTGGTAGGGTTGTCATGGAAACGAGAGACGTAGGAGTATGTGCACCTGTTGCAGGTCCGGCACAGGGCCAGGGCTGTTGAGGTGGGTGCCAGCTGCTTCGGTCATCACCTGCTCACCATCACCCTCGGCCTCTGACCATGGGTCCTGGCCCAGGGGGCCACTTGGCCAGACGAGAGCCAGCGGCTGTGGAGTCTGTTGACCTGAAGTGGACAGCTGGTTCCACCACTCTCTAGCCCATTCCTGGGCCTCCCTTTCTTCATCTGCAGAACGGGGGGCGCAGGGGGCCTCCACCTCCATGCCCGAGTGTGTGCTGTGGGCCAGGCCCCGGGAGTGCGATCATCTGTAGCCTCTGGCTGTCAGCTCACCAGAGGATACGGACATGGACCCCTCACTGTTGCGAACAGGGACGAGCCGCGTCAAAGGATTGGGGGCCGTGAAGGGGGATAACAGGAGGGCCTGGGAAGCCATCTAGGGCAAGCATTAAGAGCCCAGCAGGAGCCAAGGAGAGGGACTATCCCACACTTAGAACCGCGGAGCCGAGTCCCTGAGGCAGGCGGCCTCCTGGGTCCAAGAGGGGCTGTTTCAGACCACAGATTGTATTGTGGAAACCCGTGGGATGTGACCAGCTCCTTTTTTTTTTTTTAACGGAAAAAAAAAAAAAAGAACCGAAGATATCCATGCAGTGTTCTACGTAAGAATAAATACTATTTATTGAAATTGGTTTCAGTTAGTTACAGGTAAATTTATGTGCTTACGTGTAGTTAGGGCAAGCTGACTGACTTTTTTTGAGAGAGTGTTTGCAAGCAGGGGTGGGAGAGGGGGAGAGAGAATCTTTTAAAGATTTTATTTTTATTTAGAGAGCACAAGTCAGGGGAGGAGCAGAGGGAGAATCCTAAGCAGACTCCCCACCAAGTGCAGAGCCCCATGTGCGGGGCTCAATCCTAGGACCCTGAGATCATGACCGGAGCTGAAACCAAGAGTCAGACGCTTAACTGACTGAGCCACCCAGGTGCCCCTAGATTTCCTTCTAGGTGAAATCAGAGCCCAGTGCCATCTGATGGCTGGTGGTGGTGTGGGATTCTGCTTCACACCATCCTTCAGGGACCCGGGCTCCACCATCAAGTGTCCCTGCTGCCCGTCCCGGCATTGTCCCCTCTCTCTGCTTTTTCCACATACATGTTACCGAGCTATTTATTACTTAGGTTTACCTGGTTTTATCAAGGACATGTCATTTTTTTCCCTGCGTTTTGCTTTTTTGTTAGTTTTCTGTTTCTGAGATTTATTTATCCACGTTGATGCATGTAGCTGAAGTTCATTTGTTCGGGGGGTTTATTTTTTCCCCCTGCTGTGTAGTATTCCACTGTGTGAAAAGAGCACAGTTCAAGTATTCTTCTCTTGCAAGTATTCCTTACACGTGCAACATTTTCTCTTGGGCAGTGTTTGCAAACTGAGGGTCACGGCTGTCATTGGTCATGAGATGACCAGCACTTTTTGTTTTTGAAGCAAATAGAATAGAAATAGAGTAGAATTTTTTTTTTTAATTAGCATGTGAGCATGCTTCACATAGTGAAGGTAAACAGTAATTCTTAAAACTTTTTCAGTATATGATACAGTTGACCTTGAACAGAACGAGTTAGGGGCACTCCCCATGCAGTCAGAAACCCACATTCAACTTTGACTTCCCCAGAAACTTAACTGCAAATAGCCCCGTTGACCGGAAGCCTTATCAGAAACATGAAACAGTTGATTAATAGTGTTTTGTGCGTTATATGTGTTGTGTAACGTATTTTTACAACAAAGTAAGCTAGAGAAAAGATGTTATTAAGGAAGTCATAGGAAGAGAAAACACATTTATCGTTCTGGACTTTTTTTTTTTTTTTTTTTAAGTAACCTGTATGCCCAACGTGGGCTCGAACTCATGACCCTGAGATCAAGCATCGGATGCTCTCCTGACAGCCAGCCAGGCGCCCCTAGTCCTGTACTTTATTTATAGGGAAAATATCTGTGCGTAAGGAAGCAGACCTGCGCAGTTCAAACCCACTTTGTGTTGTTGAAGGGTCAGCTGTACATGCGTGTGTATGTCTGTGCACACGAATGTAGTGCGTCACCACAAAATGTGTTCTGTGTGCAGGTTGTAGGAAAAAGGGTTTGAAAGTCACTGCTCTGGGGTCCCTGGGTGGCTCGGTCGGTTAAGCACCTGACTCTTGATTTCGGCTCAGGTCATGGAATCAAGCTCCACACTCAGCAGGGAGTCTGCTTGTCCCTTTCCCTCTGTTCCCCCTCCCTAACGTGGGCACTCGCTCACATGCTGTCTCTCTCAAGTAAATAAATCTTAAAGTCACTGCTCTGGAGTACGTGTCTAGGGGAGGAGTTGCCAAGTCTCACATCCTTGACTTGGATAAAATTAGCGCCAGGTTATTTACTGGAGTGATCATATATAAATGACCCCACCCAGCTCCCCGCAACAGCCGAGACTGCTGTGTCTCGGGGGGCTCCTCTGCACCGGCCAAGCCGCCCCCAAGAACGTCCGCTCGGACACTGAAGGCCCCCACCCACATCTCTGTGTCCTGCGGGCTATGGCCCTCTGTCCCTCTCCTCAGCGGTCAGGGGCTCACCTGTTCCCCTGTGGCAGGGTGTCATTGACTTGCTAGGAAGGCTCACGGCATCTCTGTGCCCACAGGCACCGTTCCACAAACTGCGTCACCTTCGTAGTCCTCGTGACGCCATCTGCCATTCTGCAGGGGACTCCCCCCACCCCCCTTCCCTGAGCAATGACTTCGTCTCTTTTGCCAGGAAGAACGGCTGAAGCTCCCCATTCTTGCTGAAGAACAAGTGATCATGGAGGCGGTGGCCGAGCACCCCATCGTCATCGTGTGCGGGGAGACCGGCAGCGGGAAGACCACGCAAGTGCCACAGTTTCTCTACGAAGCAGGCTACAGCAGGTGGGGGCTGGCCACAGGGTCCTCCGCAGGGTCCTCTGCGGGTCCCTCGCGGGACAGTGGAGGTGCGATCCCCAGAAGTTATTCCAAACATGAGCCCCCACGGATCTAGTCCTGGCTCTGCCGTTTGTGTGCCGTGTGGCCTTAGGCAAGCTGCTTACCCTCTCTGGGCCTCCGTTTCCTCAGCTCTGAGATGAGGACAGCCATGGCACCCACTTCACAGGTCATGTAGACGGAATGAGGGAATTTGTGTGAAACGCTTACATCAGTCCCTGGCATGTGGGGCCCTGCATTTGCTAATGTCACCTCCTGTTGGCACTTTTGACCCGTGTGTGTCATCGGTCCCCAAGACCACCCAGCTTCATGGATTTGCTGGGAAGGCTCATGGGACCCAGCCTGTAGCTGTATGCATGAGAGTGATTTATTAGAGCAAAAGAGCACAGAACCCAGCTGGCAGAGGGGAGAGGCGTGTGGGGTGAAGTCTGGGGGATCCAGGCACAGCCTTCCAGAATCCTCTCCCGGGAGAGTCACACGGAAGCAGCAAGTTGTGACAATACGTGTGAGGAGTTGTCACCAGGGAAGCCTAGTAGAGACGGAGCACCGGAGTGTTTGTTGGGGTCACCTCGGCACCCTCTGCCTGGTACCTCCCCGAGTCCCAGATGCCCACAGGGAAAGCAAATGGTCCGGCATCAGCCACATCGTTTGTACAAACAGTCCAGGCACAGGACCGGGAGTCCTCCCGAAATTCAGATCCCACACGCCAGCCACCACCAACCCAGTACACAGACCTTTCTCAGGAGAGCAGCCGTGGGCCTGCTGCATTAACTGTTTTCGGCATGGCCTGGAATCCAGCCCCTGTCCCCTTGGCAGGTTCTGTGTCGGGACAAGCATGTGCTCCGCTGGCTGAGGGCCTGCTCCCCCCAGGCCCAGTTCTAGCAGCCGCTGCCTGGCTTCTGCTGGGCTGCGACCAGCGAAGCGTTTGTGTGCTGACTGGCGGGCTGGTCCCTTTTGCTGTTCAGCTTGTCTGGTGCCCGTCCCGTCACCCCTGGAGAGGGCCGCTCCACACCCCAAATCCTGACATGGACCTGCGTGTGACTTTGGGACGGACAAGCGGGCCCGCACACCGCTGATGTGTTGTGCTCTCCCTCCCCCAGTGACAACAGCATCATCGGCATCACGGAGCCCCGCCGAGTGGCCGCTGTGGCCATGTCCCAGCGAGTGGCCAAGGAGATGAATCTGTCACAGAGGTGAGGGCTCTGCCTCCTGGAGGAGGGCTCAGGGTGGTCCTCTGGCCTTGCCTGTGGGCCCTGTCCGTCCCGAGGGTGCTGGGTGGGAGTGTTGCTTTCTCATCTAAGTACAAGGAGACCCTCGTGCAAGAAGGCTTCCCACACTCTGGACAGCAGGACCTTCCTGGGGAGGGGGCCACAGAGCAAGGACCAGGCAGCCAGGCCCTGGCGCTCACATCACGCGCAGTGCGCTGAGGACCCTGACGGGTTCGGGGGCGGAGCAGAGTGGCAGGCGGCCAGATGCGGGCAGGCAGTGATGAGTGCTGGGCATGGGCGAGTTATGTCAGGCGAGGTTCCTGAGTGCAGACCCTGTGCTACATACAGTAAGCCTGTCGGACGGGCTTCGGCAAGTACAACACTTGCTCGGGAATGGCTCGGGGCCGTGTTTAGAATGCACGTGCCTGGGCCCCAGCCTAGACCACGGTATTCTGGTTCGAAGGGGTAGCTCGTCCAGTGTGGTCTAAAATTGAGAAAGCACAGAAAAACATAGAGTTCCCTTCATCTGCCTTGTTAGTGAATATTTAGGGAGCGGCACCTGCTGTGTACCTGGCCCCACCCCAGACTGGCATGCGAGTGGGGAGCCTTGTTCTGTTTGCCTGGTGGGGGTGGGCGAGGTGCCCCCAGCATGTTTCCTGTGGCTCCTTCTAGACTTGTAGGCACAGACAAGCAGCTATGTGCATCTCTCTGTATTTCTTCCTGTCTGACTTTTACAGAAATCGTTCCTACTGCCCACGCCCTTCTGTGTCCTTCCTGTCGCATTGAGTGGTATATATTTGAAAATACCAATACATACAAAGCTGCCCTTTTTTCTTATCCTTTTTAACTTCTTATTGTGGACATTTTAAGCATGGACAGAAGTAGAAAGACTAGGGAAGGAGCCCCCGCAGACCCTAAACCCAGTTTCAATGATTGTCAAGTCATGGCCAAGGTTGTTTCACCTCTGGGGGCCCCCCCCGCTCCCGACAGGGGGTTTAGAAGCCAGTGCTGGCTGCAGAGAGTTCATCTCAAGGTTCCACTGTGTGGGGCTGCAAGATCAAGACTTTGTTTTATTTATTTTTTATAAAAATAGGGAACAGAAGCAGGGGGAGTGGGAGAGGGAGAAGCAGGCTTCCCGCGGAGCAGGGAGCCCGATGTGGGGCTCGATCCCAGGACCCTGGGATCATGACCTGAGCCAAAGGCAGACGCTTAACGACTGAGCCACCCAGGCACCCCAAGACTGTGTTTTATTTTTTGAGATAAGGACTCTTGAAAGACTTGTAATACCCTTACCCTAGCTAAAACTGGAGGAACTCTGGAGCGTCCTCATGTCCACGCTCTCCTAAAAGGTTTTCAGAGTTGGTTGTTTAAATTGCGCTCCAGCCGAGGTCCGTGTCTGGTTGGCGTATCCTTCAGAGGGCTGTGACAGCCCCCTCCGCGTCACGTTGGTGACAGAGCGGGGGCCGGGTAGCGTCTGTGCCTTGCTGGGGGTAGCTGCTGGGCCAGGCCTCTGCTGTCTGTCTTGGTGTGGCCACAAAGCTGCAGCTGGCCGGGGCCTTGCCCGCCCTGAGCCGTAGCCTGTCTCTGCAGGATCGTCTCCTACCAGATCCGATATGAAGGAAACGTGACCGAAGAGACCAGAATCAAGTTCATGACGGATGGCGTGTTGCTCAAGGAAATCCAGAAGGTTGGTCGCTCATCTTGTCTCACAAAGCAAGGCCGATGAGCATGGGGTGGGGAGTCCGCGTGTCACCGTGTGAGGTGAGCAGTTGGCATGCCGACCGCCGGCAAAGCACCACACGGCGCGGCGCCACTGTGTGACCGTGGGCAAGTTACTTAACCTCTCTGAGCCTCAGCTTCTTGATCTGCAAGCCTGTACTTTTCTCATATAATTGTTTCGAAGCAGAAATTTTATGACGCATGGAAGCACCTTAGCGTAACACCTAGAAGGTGCTCCTTACACGTAAACTCATGTTACTGTGATTTGGTTCACAGACTCTGTGCCTCAGCCACATGCGTACCGCTCCTTGCTGGCTGTGTGACGTCCACCTGGGCAGGGACCTCTGGGGAGGGCAGAGGTGACGCCTGCCTCTGCCAGGACACCAGCTGGGGTCACCCAGGAAGGTGGCTATGAATGTGGCCCCAGTGTGGTCGAATACGGCTGCTTTACGTCTGGCGTACGCTGTCTGGTTGCCCTCGGTCCCGCCCACCACCTCCTCGTTTCTGTTTCCTGCCTGCCCTCCCTGCCCTACGGGCATCTGGATTTGGTAGCTGGGCTCTAATGCATGGTAGCTGCCCTTCCTCCATCAATTTCTCTGCCAGGTTCCGGGCCCCAGGCCATGCACCTTACAGATGGTGATTGTCATGGAAACCTCGCTGTGACCCCGTGAGGTGGGTCCTGTTGCCCCATCTTACAGATGGAGAAACGGGCAGAGGGAGGCGAAGTAGCTTGCCTGAGGTCACGGACCAGGTGCTCCAGGATCCATGCGAGCTGTGACGGGCTCCTTGAGGGGGAGCTGTGGGGTGTGAGTGACCCTGGAGCGGCTCGGGCCCGGGCTGGCAGGCCTCACCACGCTGCCTCTCCCTAGGACTTCCTGCTGCAGAGATACAAGGTGGTGCTCATCGATGAAGCCCACGAGAGGAGCGTGTACACGGACATCCTCATCGGCCTCCTGTCCCGCATAGTGTCTCTCCGGGCGAAGGTAGGGCAAGGGGGCGGGGGGGAGGGGGGAGCCAGGGAACCCCCCGAAGGCCAAGGGCGGGGCTCCTGCACCTTGTCGGGAGCATGGGCTCCCTGAGCCCAGCACCAGGACTGTGGCTCTCCATAGCAACAGCCCCTGTGGGACTCCACCCTATAGAAATCTAGCCTTGTGAGCTGCTGCCCTTCCCTCTGTCACCGAGTCTGTCATCCCCCAGAGGCACATGCCACTGAAGCTGCTCATCATGTCGGCCACGCTGCGGGTGGAGGACTTCACCCAGAACCAGCGGCTCTTCCCCCAGCCGCCCCCGGTCATCAAGGTAGTGCCCGGGCCAGAGCCTCGGGCTGGCGGGGGCAAGCGGGGCCTGTCGGCGTTGACAGTCGGATGCCTGGTTGGAGGAGGCTGAGCACTTGGGGGGGGCCCCTCTCTGCCGGTGGAGGCCCCACTCTGGGGAGTGAGTGCTGGGAGGCGTTAGGGAACTGCTCGTGCTGAGCTAGAAGCTCTGAGGTTGGCCAGGCCAGGGAAGGGGGAGGTACCAGGCCGCGGCAGAGGCTCAGCGCGCGGCCTGGGTGCCTCCTTGGGGTGTGTCCCAGGTGGAGTCCAGGCAGTTCCCGGTGACGGTGCACTTCAACAAGCGGACCCCGCTAGAAGACTACAGTGGCGAGTGCTTCCGGAAGGTCTGCAAGATCCACCGCATGCTGCCAGCAGGTGAGGCCTTGGGGACCAGAAAGGCCGGACCTGCCCTCGAACCCCCAGTGTGCAGGCTCGGGGTTCCAGGCCTCCCGGTCACTGCTCTTTTCCCGTGGGGCACCCTTGCCCTGGTGGTGGACCGTCCATAATATAAGCTTTACATCCTAACTGTTTGTAAGTGTGCAATCCGGTGGCATTTCGGGCGTTCACAACACAGGCAGGCTCCGTTTGCTGTGCTTGGCTTTATCGGCCTCCACAGACACTGCATTTTTTTCACAAACTGAAGGTTTGTGGACAACCCTGAATAATCAAGCAAGTGTGTCCGTCCTGTTTTTCCAACAGCGCTAGCTCACTTCCTGTGTCAAACATCCTGGTAATTCTCACAGTATTTCAAACTTTTTCATTATCACGTTTGTTACAACGATCTATGGTCCGGGATTACGGCTCGCCAAAAGCTCAGGTGACGGTTAGCAGTTTTTAGTAAGAAGGTATTTTTAGTTAAGGGGTAGGAGTTGGTTTTTAGAAGTGATGCTATTACATACTTAATGGGTTACAGTGTGGCGTCCACATAACTTTCATAGGCCCCGGGAAAGCAGACATATTGGCCGTAGTGGGGTGGTCTGGAAGCAGACCCGCAGCGCCCCTGAGGTGTGCGTGTGCGGTGCAGCCGTCCCCGCCATCCCTCTGCAGAGCGTTTTCGTCACCACCGGCAGAAGCTCCGTCCCCACTAAACGCAAACTCTCCTCCCCCTCCCCTGGCCCCCACCATTCGACTTTCTGTGTCTCCGCCTTCACCCATCCTGGACGTTTTATACAGATGGACTTAGGCGATATGTGGGCTTCCGTGCCTGGCTTTGTCAAGGAGCATCTCGTCCCTGAGGTTCATCCATGTCGTGGTGGGTGTCCACGCATCACTCCTGTGTGTGGTGGGACCACGTTCTGCTGTGTGGATGGGCCACATCCTGTCTAGCCGTTCACCAGTTCGCGGACACTTGGGTGGCTTCCCCCTCCTGGCTGTCGTGAACAGAGCTGCCATGAGCATCCATGTGCGGTTTTGGGCTGCGTCCCTCTCTCCTGGTTTCCTGGGCTCACGCCGAGGAGTCGAGCAGCCAGGTCGTGCAGGAGCTCTGTCCAGCTCCCCGTCACACGTCCCCCGTGTGGGAGGCCGCTGTCCGCTGCTCGTCTGCGTCTCTCAGGGCTGCTGTGACCGGCTCTTCCTCACGCCCAGCTCTCGGCAACCTGCTCTGGGAATGCATGCATAGCAGAGGAGTCTCGCTCTTTCCACAGGCGGCATCCTGGTGTTCCTGACGGGGCAGGCAGAGGTGCACGCACTGTGCTGCAGGCTGAGGAGAGCCTTCCCACGCCCCAGACGCAGGCCGCCAGGTAACCGCAGCACTTGGCCTGAGAGCCGGCGGGTGGTCAGCCTCCCTGTGTGAGAGCCGGCGCCTTTGCCTGCCCGACCGTTCCCCGAGGAATGGCCAGCGGTGGGCGCCTGGGTGGCTCAGTCGGGGAAGCGTCTGCCTACAGCTCGGGTCGTGATCCCGGAGTCCTGGGATCGAGCCCCGCATCGGGCTCCCTGCACAGCAGCGGGTCTGCTTCTCCCTCTGCCCCTGCAGCTCCCTCTGCTTGTGCGAGCACATGTGTGCACGCATGCTCTCTCGCTCTCTCTGTTTCACTCTCCCAAATAAATAATTAAAATCTTTAAGAGAAAGAAAGAAATGGCCAGCAGTGCAGCGACCTTACTCTGGACGGCGAAGAACAGAGCCCTCATAGCCTGGGTCTGGCCTCAAGGTGTCTTCCTCAATCTGTTCCTCTTGCAGAAAAAGAAGATCAAGAAGATTCAGTAGAGGACATGCGGAAGTTTAAGAAGTCAAGGACAAGGGCAAAGAAGGCCCAGGCGGCGGTATGTAGAGGCTCGTGTGGTAGGGGCAGCTCGGGGCTCTGAAGCGGCCTTGTTTCTACGGTGGCTCACAGCCCCATGAGGCTGTGTAGAGGCACATTTAACTAAAATGAAATAAGATTAAAATTCAGTTCCACAGTCGCATCAGACATGTTTCAGGGGTTCAGTAGCCACGTGGGGCTGCTGGGGACCGTATTGGGCACACGGGGTCTGAAACATTCCTACCATGGAAGGGAGTTCTGTCGGATGGTGTGGCTCCAGAGCCTGCAGGGTGGGCTGTGATTTGAAATGTTTAAGGTTCCCTGTGCTGTGGGCCAGGAGGAAGCTTCTGGAAGGCTGGCCCTGAGCAAGGCCTGTGAGGATCTCTGGGAGGGCAAACAGAACAAGGACACGGGGTCCCTGGTGTTGGCTGTAGAACTGGGGAGGGGGGTGCTTTCCCCTGGTGTCCCCACGTTGTCATGGATCCATGGGTAACAGCGTTCTCATTTGGAGGTCACTAACCCCCCTGCTGCGTTTAGGACCCGCCAGGTGGCACTCTTAAGTGCCTTCCGAATGTTGCCTCGGTCCTCACGGCAGGCCTGCGGCCGTGTGCGATGAGTCCTATGGTTATCCCGAGTGTTAGGGCAAGGACGGTTGCCAGAGCTGCCCGAGGCCTCATGGCTCATGGGTGGGGGGATGGGGCCTCGTGCTGGAACGCGCTTGTCTTTCCTGCCTGTGACCTGCGTCTCCTGCAGTCTGTGGTTCTGACGTCTTGTTTGCCGTAGACATTGCCCCAGATCAGTTTGGACAACTACTCGGTGTTGCCAGCAGGCGAAGGCGACGAGGACAGGGAGGCAGAGATGGACGAGGAGGAGGAGGAGGCCCTGGGCTCCGACCTTGACCTGGACTTGGGGGATGACGAAGCAGACGGAGGTGTGGCCTGGGCGGAGCCCCTGCTCACGCTCCTTTGGTCATTCACTCAGTCCGTGTCTGTTGAGCGCCTGCTATATACCAGGCCCCGTTGTTAGGCCCAGACGTCTTTGTCTCGAGCCTCAGGAAATCTGGGCTTGCTGCCGCTTTGTGCCTACTGTTTGCTGAGCTCCTTCAACTGCCTGGCAAAGTAGACCCTCAGATATTTGTAGTGTTGATTGTAATGGGGGTGCTCAGCTTTGCTGGGTAAACGCAGGCCTCAGGGCTGGCTGGGAGGGCTGCCCAGTTCTGGGCCCCCTGTTCGGAGATGGGTCCAGGGCTGCATGGGGTCTCCGGAGGGCATGAGGTGGGGAATGTCCAGGTGGGAATGCCTGCCAGACTCATGGCCAGACTTCCAAGAAGGCGGGCATTCCCCACCTGGATCAGGATCATGGAGCCGCTCAGACTGTGACCCAGACTGTGCTCACCCACTGTGCTGGTCTGGAAGGTAGAGGCCCCTGGCAGCAGGCAGAACAGGTCGGGGGGGCGCTGGGCAGCCTGAGGAGGGCACCTGCCATGGGCGCTTGGGAGTGGCAGCAGGCCTGTGCTTTCCCTGCAGGTGAGCAGCCGGACGCCTCGCTCCCCCTCCACGTGCTCCCACTCTACTCTTTGCTGGCCCCAGAGAAGCAAGCTCAGGTAACAGCGTGGGGCCTCGGGAGGATGCTGGGTGGATGCTTGGCTGGGGGCACCATCCTGCCTCTTGGGGGCACCTCAGGGCATCGAGAGAAGGGCAGGGCAGGCCCTGGGTTGTCCTTGTCATCAGATCAGCACCCCGTTTTAAAAGGTGTTGGGATCTCTTTGGAGAACAGGAACGCTTCCCTGCATTTATGCTGAGGAGCGCTGGGGCCCAAGGCAAGGAGAGGGCTTGTCACCCTCGCCACCTCTGGGGTCCCACCCAGCCTGGCCTGACTTCTCTGTGATCAAGAGAAATTTCCTGGCTCCCCCTCTGACCCCCACCCGCATGTGTCGCACAAATTCTTTCCTGATTCTGGTGGTTTTTGGCTGCTTCCCCTCCCCCACAATCCCAGGTCTTCCAGCCTCCCCCAGAGGGGACGCGGCTGTGTGTTGTGGCCACCAATGTGGCTGAGACGTCCCTCACCATCCCGGGCATCAAGTACGTGGTGGACTGTGGGAAGGTCAAGAAGCGGCACTATGACCGTGTCACCGGCGTGTCCTCCTTCCGTGTCTCCTGGGTGTCCCAGGCCTCAGCCGATCAGCGGGCGGGCCGAGCGGGCCGGACAGAGCCGGGCCACTGCTACAGGTGGGCTTCCCTGGGCCTCTCCAGTGATGGGGGAGGGGGGCGGGGAGTCACCGTGCAGCAGCCACCACCAGGGACAAGGAAGGGGGGTCCCCTCCCCAGTCCACAGCGAGTGCCATCCCATTGGAGACAGTCCTTAGGGTCTCTGCGGGGCCTCGTTGGCACTCGGACACTTGTGTTCTTTCTTTAATCTGACCCCGAAATAGACACTTACTTTTAGTGGCTTTCTTTTTGTTTTATTTTGCGACAGCTTCATGGCGGTGAAGTTAACCTCCCAGAAATGTCGCCGTCCTGGGGGGTGTAGTGTTCTCGGGGTGTGCAGCATCACCCAGCCCGTACCCAACGTTCTCACCACTCCGAAAGAGGCCCGCACCCCCCTCCCGTCCCCACTCTTGGGCATGTGTCTCCATCTCCCCGGGTCCGTCCCTGGGGGGGGTTGCTGGGTCCCGTGGCCACTCTGCCACGCTGGGTCCTGCAGCGGCTACACCATGTGGCGCTCCCACCAGCGCACGAAGGTTTTCCCTGGTTGCCCCACGTTCTCACTGACGCCTGTTATTTTTCCATGTTTTTTAAACCGGAAGTGTGCCGTGGTGATGTGCTGTGGTCCTGGTCTGCGTGTCCCCGATGGCTGGTGACCCTGCACGTCTTTTCCTGTGCTTGTTGGCCATTCGTTGGTGTTCTTTGGAGAAATGCTTTTTCAGATCTCTTATTTTATTTTTTTTAAAGATTTTATTTATTTATTTGAGACAGAGAGAATGAGAGAGAGAGCACATGAGAGGGGGGAGGGTCAGAGGGAGAAGCAGACTCCCCACCGAGCAGGGAGCCTGATGCGGGACTCGATCCCGGGACTCCAGGATCATGACCTGAGCCGAAGGCAGTCGCTCAACCGACTGAGCCGCCCAGGCACCCAGATCTCTTATTTTTTAACAGGGTTATTTGTCTTTTATTGTTGAGCTGAGTGGCCACGTTCTCTTCCTAATCTGGACATTAGATCCGCCTCAGAGGTGCCATTGACAAGTGTTTTCTCCCAGTCTTTGTCGTGTTGCTAATTTTCGATAGCTTTATTGCTGGTTTTGTTAATACTGTTTTATTTATTTATTTATTTATTTTAAAGATTTTACTTATTTGACAAAGAGAGACACAGCGAGAGAGGGAACACAAGCAGGGGGAGGGTCAGAGGGAGAAGCAGGCTCCCCGCCGAGCAGGGAGCCCGATGCGGGGCTCGATCCCAGGACCCTGGGGTCATGACCTGAGCCGAAAGCAAACACTTAACGACTGAGCCACCCAGGCGCCCCCGTTGAAATTGTTTTAAATGATGAAGAAAGGAAATTGAAAAATCGTGCACAAAAACCTAGTGAGAACCGACGGTGGTTGCTCTTTGCCGGGGACCGCACGTGAGGCGCTGCTCTCCATCCCCCACATGGCGGCTGAAACATCCTCCCCGCCCTGGGGGTGCACCTGCTGCTGAGCCGCAGCTGCAGGAGAGGAACACGCGGTAGGGGCAGCGTACCTGCTGGCCTCCTCAGTGGCCGAGTGGAGACCCGCTGCTGGGTGGCTTGCTGAGTTCCCCTTTTATTTATTTCTACAATAATTCTGTTATCGTTGGTGCCTGTCCCGGCCCAGGCTCTATTCATCTGCAGTTTTCGGTGACTTTGAGCGGTTTCCTCCTCCTGAAATCACCCGGAGGCCTGTTGAAGACCTGATCCTTCAGATGAAAGCACTCAACATTGAAAAGGTCAGTGGCGACCCCAGCCCTGCCCGCACCCCACTGAGCTCCCAGTGTATGTACTGTGTCTACATGGCCCCCCACCCCCACCCCGGCACAGGCCGGCTCCCGAGACGCAGGGAACCCCGGGGCTGAGCCCAGCAGTGCCTGCCTGGCCGCCTGGTGCTCTCGTGCGGGACACCGCATCAGCACATGCCTCCGGGGTCTCCCAACTCCCAAGACCCCCTACTTCCCCAGGGCCGCACCCCTCCAGCACGCAGAGGGCCTGCCCACGGCACAGAGGGCTGTCGTCGTCCTGGGGCGCACAGAATGTTCTGTTGACACAATCCTCTGCCTGACGAAGCAGCATCCTCACATTGCCCCATCCAGGGGTCCCCCGCCTCTCTGCTGCTCCCAGGGGGTGGTGCAGGCAGAGCGAGACGAAACCCTGGGCCCATTATTAGTCATTCCCATTCCTTCTTCCCCAACCCCAAAGTTTCTATGGCTCCGTCTGTTTTGGACATTTCATATAAACGGAATCATTCCTGTAAATGTCTTCAGGGGTCACCCCCCTTGTGGCATGTGTCAGTACTTCAGTCCTTTCCGACTGAGTCATGCTCCATCGTGGGCCCAAGCCGGGCCACCTTCTGTGTAGCCGTTCATCTGTCAATGGGCATCTGGGTTGTCTGCACTCCCGGCCGTTAGGGACAGAGCAGCTGTGAACACGGCTGTATGCGGATTTACTAGATGAGTTTCTCAGGTGCCACTGTCCCTGAGCCCGGTCCCTCTGCCCCTCACCATGTTCTCCTGCAGGCACGTGCACCTGTCTCCATGCTCACTCCCTTCCGGCTGAGGCAGAGCCCTTGTCGTGTGCTTTCTTGGTCTCTGTGGCCAAGAACAGCCGTGCCACACATTAGGTGCTCAGTACGTGCTTTTGAGTACGCAGATCGTGTGAATAAAAGAAGGAAGGGGACATTTGGGCTTCCCCTGGCTCACAGACGTGGAGAGTGCCTGGGGCTGTGAGTGGTCTCAGGACAGGTGCAGGAGCACTGTCCTCCTGCTAGGCCTGCCATGCTGCCCCTTGTGGTCGCTGCTTCCCTGCGTTCACGCTGTCCCTGCCACGTCTCTCCCTGCCCAGGTCATCAACTTCCCCTTTCCAACCCCTCCCTCCGTGGAGGCCCTCATTGCCGCCGAGGAGCTGTTGGTCGCGCTGGGTGCCCTGGAGGCACCCCAGAAAACAGAGAGGTAGGTGGGGGTGTGGGGTAGGGGGGTGCCGAGAGCCCAGCTCCCAGCCCGTTCTCGGCCCTCTCCCTCCTGAGCTGCCCTGAACACCAGGGTCGCTTAGCTGCGACACCACCCCCGACCACACACCCCTGTCGTCCAGCATGAAGCAGCTGCAGAGGTCCCGGCTGAGCTGCCCCATCACTGCACTGGGCAGGACCATGGCCACGTTCCCCGTGGCGCCGCGCTACGCCAAGATGCTGGCACTGAGCCGGCAACACGGCTGCCTGCCTTACGCCATCACCATTGTGGCCGCCGTGACAGTCCGTGAGCTGTTCGAGGAGCTGGACAGGTGAGCACTGGGGGCCCCGCTCAGGCCGGTGGGGGCTGCCCCGTGCTGAGCGGTGACCGGGAGCCCGGCCTCCGGGGGGATAACTGGCACGTCGCGTGGCCTCGTGCTGGTGCCCGTCCTCCCCGGGCCCAGCAGCGACGTGATCCCTGCAGAGCTCTGTCTTCATTTCTGGAGCCCGCCGAGCGTGTACTGGCTAGGAGCCCAGGCTCTGGCCCACACCACCTGGGTTCAGATCCCCCTCTGCCACTCCGGGCTCTGTGGCTTCAGGGCGGCGACTTCACCTCTCTGCGCCTCATCTTTCCTATCTGGAAAATGGGGGTGAGACGTTAATGGAGTTGTAGTCAGGGTGTCAGCCCTTCCTTACGGGTTGGGGAGCCGTGATTCACTTACCCAGGCTGCCCTCGGTGGACGTAATGGCGGCATTCAGGGTTTTTTGTTGTCACAAAAGCGGTGCAGCCACATGTGATGATTCTGTGGTTGCTGGAGTCTTTCTTCGTTATCAGTCTAGACGTGGAATGGTCGGCTTAGGAGACACGCACATTTGTAATCTCCTGGGCTGCAGGTAGTGCCTTTTGAGCCCAAGACCTTAACCGTCTTAGTCGGTGGCTCCCCCAGGCATTTTCTCTGCCCTGAGGGCGGCCAGGCCGGCAGCCCGGGTGGTGTGTGTATGTGTGTTTGCAGACCTGCGGCCAGCGACGAGGAGCTCGCCAAGCTGAAGGACAAGCGGGCCCGGGTGGCCCAGATGAAGAGGATCTGGGCGGGGCAAGGCGCCTCTCTGAAACTCGGAGACATCATGGTGCTGCTGGGTGCGTGCCCCCTGCGGCGTGGGGGGGTGGCGGAGGTCAGGCAGGGCTAGGGCGGGGCAGCAAGCGAGTGCACCCCTCCTCCGCAGGTGCTGTGGGAGCCTGCGAGTACTCTGGCTGCTCACCCCAGTTCTGCGAGTCCAACGGGCTTCGGTACAAGGCCCTGTTAGAGACCCGGCGCCTGCGGGGCCAGCTGACCGCTGCAGGTAACCGTCCGCCGCGTCAGCCTCTGGGGACTCCCCAGGTCCCCCCGTCTCGGGCAGCACCCACCAGAGAACTTGACTATTTTAATGATTAAAGTTGTTTTGAGCAGCATTAACCACATACCACTGATCCCCATTATCCACAGATTCCACATTTACAAATTCACACACTTACTGAGACTTAGTATAACCCCAAAATCAGTCCTGACCCCTTCTTGGACACCTCCACAGGGAGGGGTAAGGTGCACACTCTCTCCCCTGAGGCTGTTCCTCAGTTTGCTCTTTTCCTTAGTAACATCCTTCTTCGTCACCCTCTGTCCCCAGGACAGGCCTGGACCTGCTGCTTGCCTCACACCTGGCTCTCCCCGCAGTCAATACTGCATAGTCCCCCCATAGTCTCATCCTGGGGTTCCCCCCTTGCACCAAGTGGACTCCCTTTTGGGAGTCAGGGAGCAGATGACAGTGCAGTCCCCCACTTTCTGAGCCGGTGGAGACCAGACCTAAGGGAAGCTAGGTGTGGGAGGCAGGGCCTCCAGCGGACATTGGAATCTGCTGGTCTTCTGCGTTCTGTCCTTGGGCCTGCTTCCTTTCTCTTTCTTTTTTTTTTTTTCTTTACATTGAACAACATATGTTTTGCCAAAGATTTTGTAGAAAATACAGAGGAGGTTTATATAGCGAATCTTAGAAACAATCTTCCTTCCAGGTCCTGAGCCTCTTGTTCTTCTCCCTGCTGTGTCCCCCTCTGAGCTGCAGGGCTCAAAGCCCCCATCTCCTTTCTCCCCTTCCAAGGTGTCTCCACAGCTTCAGATCCTCCTCCCCCTCCTCCCCCCTGCAGAAGGGTGAGGCCCCACCTGATCTCAGGCCTGGCTCAGCAGTGCCTGCAGGAGCTCCAGAGGCGATGTTCTTGCCTTGCTGTGCACACTCGGGGATGACCCACTCATCGGGTCCCTTCTGGGCACACATGCTCTTGCACTCAGGTCAAGGGGGAAGTCCCATGCGGACCCAACAGGTTCTCCCTTAGCAGCTCCCTCTGCTGCCCGCTAAGGAATTGGGGTTTTTTCCTAAGGGAGAGAAGGACGTGGATTTGGGGCAGGCAGCTAGCTGTGCCCTGCTGAGGGCTTCGCCTCCCCTGGCAGCCTCAGTAGAGAGGAGCCAAAGTGAGCAGGCAACCACGTCTGGAGCTCCACGTTGAGTGGTGTGAGGCCTTCCAGAAGGTCAGGGCAGAGGCAGCCCCGGGCTCTGCCGTCCTCACACCTGGCTCTCTCCGCAGTCAATACCGTGTGCCCTGAGGCCGGGCTCTTCATGGACCCCAAGATGCAGCCTCCATCTGAGAGCCAGGTGACCTACCTGCGGCAGATCGTGGTGGCCGGCCTGGGCGACCACCTGGCCCGTAGGGTACAGAGTGAGGACCTGCTGGACAACAAGTGGAAGAATGCCTACAAGGTTGGCCCCGGGCGCTGTGCCAGGCTCCCTGCCACCCCGCCCTCCCCATCTGTCTGGCGTCCTGCCAGCCTGGGCACTCAGCCCTCCTGGCGAGGGGCTGCTGGGGGCCCCCTCCTCCTCACACATGAGTCCCTGCAGCCTCTGGGAGAGTCCCCACCAAGGATCAGGGTGGGGTGTGAGGTGGGGTCACATCTTCCTTTGGGTCTTAGCTTTGCCCCCAATTTTGTTTTTGTAACTGCTTATTTGAGAGGGAAATCATATACGCTACAATTCCCATTTTAAGGTGTGCAGTTCATTGGTTTTCCGTCTCCACAGAGCTGTGTGGCCACAACCACAGTCAGCTTCAGAGCATCTTCTTCCTCCCCCAAAAGACGACAGTGCCCGTTAGCAGTGGCTCCCCGTTTCCTGCTCATCTCCCCACCCCGTGAATCTGCTTTCTGTCTCTATGGATTTGTCTGTTCTGGACGTTTCACGTTAGCGGTTTGTGTGTGGCTTCTCTCACATGACACCACGTTGTTCAGGGTCATCCCTGGCCGCCTGGGTCAGCACGGCGGCCGCAGGGCTCAGTGCTGCTCAGCGTACAGATCCGCCCCACGTGCGTGTCCGCGTCCAGACCACACGCTCTCCCGCCTTCAGGCTGAGTGTCTAATGGAATTCGCGTGGGTTAATCTCACTGGTGTTTGCACCTCTCCTAGACTCATACTCTCCTTCTCTCGGCAGACCCCTCTCCTTGATGACCCCGTCTTCATCCACCCCAGTTCCGTCCTTTTCAAAGAGCTCCCTGAGTTTGTGGTCTACCAGGAAATTGTAGAGACCACCAAGATGTACATGAAAGGTAGCCAAGCTGGTGGCCGGCCCCTCGCCTGACCCACTGCGGCTCCGTGAGCTGTGTCACCAGGACCCTGTGGGGGGAGAACCTGGGCGCCCCTCCCGTGCAGCGGTGTCCGTGGCGACCCCCGGCCCTTCTCTTCCTGGTTCCCAGGCGTTTCAGCCGTGGAGGTCCAGTGGATCCCGGTCCTGCTGCCTTCTTACTGCCAGTTCGACAAGCCCTTGGAGGAGCCGCCCCCTGCCTACTGCCCGGAGAAGGGGCGGGTAATCTGTCATCGGGCCAGCATGTTCTGTGAGTCAGGGTGACTTCCTGCCAGCCTTGGGCGCCAGCAGACACATGGTCGCACGCCATGGGCCCTGGAAATGCAGGTCACAGGCCGTGTCACCTCAGGCCTTCTGCCTCTTTGCTGGGTGGGACCCGGGGCCCAGGGACAGGACTAGGGGCCTGTGGGGACCCAGCCCAGACCCTCGTTCATGGGCTCTTGCCCTCCAGATCGTGTCGGCTGGCCACTCCCTGCAGTGCAGGTGGATTTTCCGGAGGGCATTGACTGTTACAAGCACTTCGCCCGGGTTCTGCTGGAAGGGCAGGTAGGCAGCCCAGCAGCTCCCCCGGCCCCTTGCCTGGTGCCGTGGGCAGAAGGTGAGCCAGGACCCCTCCCCCCGTCCTGTGGTCTCTCCTCAGGTCTTCCACAAGCTGGCCTCCTACCGGGGCTGTTTGCTGTCCAGCCCTAGCACAATGCTGAAGACATGGGCCAGGTAGAGGCTTCCCCCTGGAGCAAGGGTGGTGGATGGTGGGGAAGGGGGCCGTATTAGTGTGAGAATTTATTCTCACAGCCCTGGAGGCCAGAAGTTGGAAGTCAGGGTGTCAGCAGGGCTGTGCTTCCTCTGCATGCTCTAGGGGAGGATCCTTTCTGCCTCTTCCAGCTCCTGGTGCATCCAGGCATTCCTTGGCTTGTGACCACGTCCTTCCAATGTCTTCCTCTGTGTTCAGGAGGCTGTGTCTCCCTGTCTCTGGGTTTTCTCTTCTTATAAGGACACCAGTCACTGGATGTAGGGCTCACCCCAATCCAGTATGAGCTTCTAAGTAATTGCATCTGCAAAGATCCTCTTTCCAAATAAGGTCACATTCTGAGGTTTTGGGGAGATCCTGGTCAGCCCCATTTTGAGCTCCAGGTTTCAGCAGGAGGCATCCTGTACCAGAAGCCCTGGGGGCTGCCTGCCAGCTGAGCACAGACCCCCCCCCCATCCCAGTAACCTTCTCCTCCTCCTTATCCCTGCCCCTCCCTTTTGCTTTCTTTCTACCCATGGCCCAGCTCCAAGAAGACACCTCACCCTTCCTAAGGCAGCATCCTAGATGGTGCAGGGGGCTTGACAAGAGCAGGCAGGCAGGCGTGCACGTGCACCAGCATTCCCTGGGACTCGGGGTGGGGGCATGGGGCCAGGTGCCCCTTGCCGATCAAGTCATTCACCCAGCAAGCAATCTGGAGCACCTGCTCTGTGCCAGGCATGTCCTCGTGCTAGGACGCGAGCACAGCCCCGTCCCTGTGGAAGCTAACACCAGAGAGAATGTCACTAGGACAGATGGCATGTGGGGCCTGGGCTACAAAGGGACAGAGCAGGACATCCGGTGGAGTAAGTTTGGTCAGGGGAGTCTGACCAAGCAGATGGGGAGGGGGTAAGGCTGTGAGCAGAAACATGGAGGAAGGTTCTAGGTGGGATGAGCAGCATGTACAGTAGCAGCCTGGGTGGGAGTACTCAAGGACCATGAAGAAGGCCAGGGTGGCGGATCAGAGGCAGCAAAGATTCAAGTGTGAGAGGAGATGAGGTTGGAGGGGTGATAGAGTCTAGATCCTTCTCTTTGGCCAACACCCCCAGCATGACAGAGGCAGACCGTTCACCATCCTAGGTAAGGCTGCCCTGGCAGTGGTACCCGCCCCTTCCCACAGCTTCTGGACACAGTGATGCCCTACAGCCTGCGTCCCCACCCACAGGCTGCAGCCCAGGACAGAGAGTCTCCTGAGAGCCCTTGTTGCTGAGCGAGCCAACTGCCGAGAGGCCTTGCTAGCTGCTTGGAAGAAAAACCCCAAATGTGAGTGTGGCCAAGGGGTTGCGAGTGGACAGGATGGGACCCACCGAGGCATTCGAGGGTTGGTGGGAGGATCTGCCCTGTAGTGGGCAGCCGGGTCCAGAGCCACTCTGACTGTCATCCGTCCTGCCCCCTGTAGACCTGCTGGCTGAGTACTGCCAGTGGCTTCCTCAGGCCATGCACGCCGACGTCGAGAAAGCCTGGCCCCCCACCTCTGACCGCTGACCTGAGGCCTAGCTGCAAGGCGGGGGGCTGGTCTGGGGAGCCACGGGGGCTGGCAGTGGCCGCTTTCTAGCCTGGTCATCCTGGTCTGTGCACCGCTCCCAGGAGGTGGGTCAGGCCTCTGGAAACCTCGCTCATCTTGGATACAAGACATCTGGACACAGCTTGCTGCTGCCCTGGGCAGTCTGACCCCAGGGGGCTTTTTTATAACTATTTATTATGTGGCGGAGAATGGTTTCACCTCACATGCCGCTCTGGGGACGACATTAGTCCCTCGCGGAGCGGCAGGGCTGGAGAACGAAGCGGCGGCGAGCAGGAGGGTGCCTACGGGCCCTTCCTCTGCATCCCCTCCCCAGCGGGGGCGGTGCTCCCTTGCCGCCCATGTCGCTGTAATAAATCTCAGCTGTCAGAACAACGGTGTGCAAGTCTAGCAGATCTCTGAGTGGGCATGGTCTGGGGGACACCGCCCACCCCCCACAGGCACGTATGGAAACTGGCCTGGGTGGGTGCTCGCCCAGCTGTCCGCCGGGCCTTTAGGGCTTGATGCCATCTCCCTCACCCGGGTGTTTGTCCTAAATCAGTTTGTTCTGATATTATAGTATAAATGCATAAAGTCCATTAATGCAAATATGTAAATAAAACAACAGAGGTACCTGTTTAACATTCCAAAATTACTCACTTTCTCCACAGACTGGCCACTAATCCCAGTATACCCCCAAACCAGAAGGTATCCCCTACTCTCCCCACATTCAAGCCATCTGCAAGTTTTGTGGGCCCTACCCCAGAATATGTCCAGAGCCCCCTCATGCTCCCCAGCTCCACACCCAGGATCTCAGATTCCCAGCCCCTGCCCAGCAGACCTCCAGCAGCTTCTGCCTGGCCATGGTGGTGACTTCCTGGCTGGTCTCCCAGCGTCCACCTGCCGGCCTATGGTGTGTTCTCCACATGGCAGCCAGAGGGAACCGTGTTAACACCTGCATCTGATCGTGGCATTTCACATCAGGCCTTCTGGAATCTTTGATGATAGAATTCAAGCTCTCATACCCTCATTCACCAAACTCCGGGCACAGAGCTTGCTTTCCGTCCCTTCAACACAGAGCGCCCCTCCCCCTCCCCCTCCCAGCTTCAGGCCTTAGCACCTGGCATTTCCTCTGCTTCTGCAGACAGGCCTCCCTGGCAGCTCATGCACCGCAGTGCCCACACGCTCCCCCTTCAGTTTCCAGCCCATCAGTGTTACTGTGTTGGCAAAACTTACCACTACTCGTGGAATGCTTGTCTTATCTGAGAATACCAGGGTACTTAATTAGCACTGTACCTGGGCACACAGTAGGTGTTCAATGCATGCACATTACCAGCATTAGGTGCTTAGGACTCACTGAGTACACAGCCAGTTGCAAAATCCTCCTTAGAAATCACTGCCTTAAATCCAGTTAAGAAATGGGCAGAGGATCTGAGTACACACTTTTCCAAAGACATCCAGATGACTAACAGACACATGACAAGATGCTCAACATCACTCCTCATTGGGGAAACACAAAACCACAATGAGATAATCACCTCACACCTGTCAGAATGGCTAAAATTAACAGAAGAAACAACAGGTGTTGGCAAGGACGCAGAGAAAGGGGAACCTTCCTGCACTGTTGGTGAGAATGCAAATTGGTGCAGCCAGTCTGGAGAACAGTATGGAGGGTCCTCAAAAGTTCAAAACAGAACTACCCCACAATCCAGCAAATGTCCACCGGCTGAGGAATGGATAAAGAAGATGTATATATGTACAGTGGAATATTACTCAGCCACCAAAAAGTGAATCTTGCCATTTGCAATGACATGGATGGAGCTAGAGAGTATTATGTTAAGTGAACTAAGTCAGAGAAAGACAAATACCATATGATCTCACTCATCTGTGGAATTTAAGAAAGGAAACAGTTGAACATATGGGAAGGGGGTGGGAGGAGGAGAGAGGGAAACAAACCAGAAGATTCTCTTAACAGAACAAACAGGGTTGATGGAGGAAGGTGGGTAGGGGTAGATGGGTGATGGGCTTTAAGGAGGGCCCGCGTTATGATGAGCGTTGGGTGTTAAATGTAAGTGATGAATCACTGAATTCTTCTGAAACCAATATTGCACTGTATGTTAACTAAAATTTAAAGGAGAAAAGAAAAAAGAAATCACTGCCTGACAGCTCGAATAACTAGGAGTGTAAAAATGCAGATTCCTGGGCCCACCTCCGTTCAACCGGAATCCCCAAGGGGGAGGGAGTTACCTGAGCATCCGCAGATGGGAGCAGGCTGGGGAGGTTTCCTAGCGCTGCCATGTCCATGGGAGCTTATTTCTCAGACCCACTAATTGGTAGCCTCTGGGTCCCCCTCCCTGCTTTGCCCTCCAGTGGTGCGACTGATTTTAAACAACAACAACCAAAAAGTAAAAGTGGAGATGCCGGGGATTGAACCCGGGGCCTCATACATGCAAAGCATGCGCTCTACCACTGAGCTACATCCCCTGGCGGTGAGTTCTTTTTCCTCGGAATGAGGATATCGGAAGCCGCGTCTTCGTCCCTTTTGCACGTTTCTTCCTTCGCAGAGGTTCAGTGTCTTATTGATTCCGAGAGGCCTCTTTGTGCCCAGGAAAGCCCATCAGCCACGGGCGCCGGGGACTTCATCCGTAAAAACTCCCGGGGAGCGGACAGGTGCAGTGGCAGGACGGCGCTATGTCTATATGAATTGATCCAGACAATGCTCAACACAGCTCATCCTCGTTAGTATAGTGGTGAGTATCCCCGCCTGTCACGCGGGAGACCGGGGTTCGATTCCCCGACGGGGAGGCTGGTCAATTGTTTTAACAGTAGAACAGGTTTTCCTGGCATTCTTAGGCACTACGGGAGCAGGCTACAGCGTACTCAATGGGTTCCTTCTTACGTATAAAATATGTGTATATTGTGAGTGTGTTATTACTTCTAATTCTGACGGGCATCGCCGGGGGGCGTTGACAAGCACAGGGGTGCACTCCTGTGATAACGGCAGGGGCTGTCTGTCTGGTCAGGTCAGGCAGGGGAGGAAGTGCACGCAGAGAGCAGCTCCGAATCTTGCCAAGGCTGCATCAGTCACAGTCTTCTTGGGACACTGGTTACCTCTGGAAGGTAGGACTGGCTTTGGTGGGAACCACTCTCACCTTCCATTCTGTACCTGTTTGCACTGTTTGAATTTTATTTTTCTCCCTCCCTCTCTCCCTCCTTTCCTTCCTTCCTTCCCTTTTCTCTTCTTTCCTTCCTTTTTTCCTTACTCGATTTTTACCAAAATGATACACTTAAGTGGTTTTTAAAGAACTACAGAGGTAGGGGTTGCACAGCATTGTCAATGTACTAAATGCTACCAAATTGTTTACTTTGAAATGGTTATTTTTATATTTTGTGAATTTCACCTCAATTTAAAAAAATACTTTAAAAAGAAAAGATCAAGACTCGTTTGGGGAAGAAAGGAATGGAAGGGGTGGATGGGAGTGTAAATGGCTTCAGCCCATTCAGAAAGCGCCTGGAAAGCTGTACATTCCACCATCTAACTTGATGATCCCATGCATGAAATTTTGCCTTTAGGGAAAGGATGCAAAAGGAAAAGCCTAGGTACAAACAACCTTGGTTTATTTTGCTTCTTAGCATTGTTATTATACCGAATATCTGGTTAGTGTATTTGTGACTGGGCCAGGGGGTCATTAGGTGCTTAGCAAAAACACTTATTAAATGACTTCATCATGAAGCCTCCCCACTCCACATCCTCTCCCAGACATCACTCCCCTTCCATTTCGCAAAAGGAGGGGAAGCAGAGAGCCCCAAACCTGGACGACAACCTTTTGATTTCTTCATGCCTTGAAGCTGAGCAGGAGCCACAGGTACGGCGGCCATGCTTGGAGCCGGATCCGAGTCACTCACTGCCCCGGGGAAAGTCACAATCCGGCCAATGTGTCCTCCATACGCTTTGGCTGGTCAGCATCCCTGTCACACCTCAGGCTGCTTGGGGAGTTGCACCCAGAGGGTGACCTTGTTCCTATCACAAAGAAGGGAGCTTGAGAAAGTGGAGTTCCGAGCCAGGTACCTACCGTTCGTTCATCCATTCATTTGTTCATTAATTCAAAAGATACTTATTAAGCACCGACTACGGGCCAGGCACTGTTCTAGACCTTGAAGGATACAGAAGTGACCCTCAGGGGTCTGTCATTTTAACTGGGCAGACAGAGAATGGACAAGGAAAAACCGTATCTAGGCTAACAGTAAGCGGTAAGGGGCTGGGGTCGTGCTGGGAGGCGTGGTCGCGGAGGTCGTCTCGGGGGCGGTGACCTTGAAGGGCGAGAAGGAGAAGGTGCCTGCGAGCCTGGCAGGCACGGGTCCCTGCCGGTCCTGCAGTCCCCGCATCGGTCCCCAGGCGGAGCACCCAGGGCTGGCAGCGCGACCAGGAGGCCCGGAGCGGAGCGCAGCACCACCGGCAGCCGAAATAGCTCAGTTGGGAGAGCGTTAGACTGAAGATCTAAAGGTCCCTGGTTCGATCCCGGGTTTCGGCAGCTCCGCTTTTTCCCGCGTGGAAAGGGGTTTAAAAACCAACACGTGAAGAGACGAGGAGAAAGGAGACGGCGTTAATCCTTTCAATCAGCTAACGGGATTCGGTCTGTTTAAAAAGGCTCCGAGCAGTATCCGTGGGAAACCGGCGCGGAGGGAAACTGCCTTGCGACGCGGCGAATTCCGGGAAGGCCGTGTTTTTCCTGACTCCGTTGCTCCGATTTCGTAAACGAGCGCTAATCTCTGTTACATGTTTGCTGATGGCTGCTCGGTAATTTTGGCTCCCAGTTTATTAACTTCTGTTCCCCGAATCCTCGCGACGGAATTAAGGGCGGAGCGGTATCCCTACAACCTAAGACGGGGTTAAATCGAGGGGGACTTTTGTTCTCCAGTTTTGAAGAAAAAGGAAAACATGGCCCCCTTTGATGAGTAGTGATACTCAGCGGAGTTTGAATGTGCCTTAAAAAGGGCCCCCGAAGGCGCGCCCGCAGGGCCGGTCCTCGTTAGTATAGTGGTGAGTATCCCCGCCTGTCACGCGGGAGACCGGGGTTCGATTCCCCGACGGGGAGGCCGCGGAGTCTTTTCATCCTCTCCTCATGTTGCTTCCATCTTCCTCCCAAATTAAATTCTTCCACTTTTGCAGAAACTCCTTACTCTGGGGAAATCAACCTGACTCGCCGTCGAGATTCGGTCTGGCGGGCGTCCATCGAGGACCCAGCTGCAGTCACTGTCCAGCTGCCTAGTGTCACACGGTTAGGAGAAAGAAGACCAAGTTTGCCGCCCTATTTCCATGCCCTGCATGCCCACAGCGCGGCTGCGAAGGGCTGGGTTTGGACGGTGCTGTCCCCGAACAAGACTGCCAACTTCCAAGGCCAGGAAATGCTCCCTCTGTCGCAAATAATTCCATCCTCTTGTATCTCGCTAGGGGCCCAGGCTGGCCCTTAAAAAAGGGTTTATGGGTTTCAGGCAGGAGGTAGGGGGACGCTGCACTGAAACGTCTTCTTGTCTTAACTCCGTTGCAGACTCCTTCCTGAGTAGCCATCAGCCTTCCCAGGCTCCTACTCTTTCATTTGTTTGTCTGGGTTCTCCCCACACCCCCACATTCATTCTGCAAATATTTACCGAATACTTACTAGGTGCCAGGCACTGTTCTAGGCGCTGGGGCTGTAGCAGGAACCGGAGTGGCCCGACTTCTGCCCTACTGACACAGACAATAAACAAATGCTATAAAAAAACAGTCTCCCAGAGTGATAAATGCTGTGAAAACAAAACAAAACAAATGGGAGGGTGTACTAGGGAGTGTGTGGAATGGGCAGGCCCCATTAGTGAGGTGTCCAGGAAGGTCCTGCTGAAGACCTGGACAATGAGAAGGAGCCACTCACCAGAAGATCTGGGGAGCACCCCTGCTGGCAGAGGAAAGGGCAAGTGCAAAGGCCCTGAGGTGCAAAGAAGGGGTCGTGCCTGCGGAACAGCAAGGAGGCAGGTGTGCCCACGGGAGGGGGAGAGAAGGAAGCGATGAGGTCAGAGAAGTGGATCAGAGGGCCTTAAAGGCCAGACTAAGGAGTTTGGATTTGACTTTAGGGTTTTATGCAGAGAGGAAACACAATCGGGTTTGTTTTGAGCAGAGTAGTGTGGCAAGAGAGAAAACAGGGGCATCTGCTGAACCGAACACAATCCCTTAGCTTGTTACCAAAGCATGTCCAAAACGTCACCTATGGCCAAGGCCTCTCCCCACCAGAGTTCACATAATAACAATGGCATTTACCATCCTGAGAACCCACACTCTGGCCAGACCTTGTAGCGGGCGCTGTTCTAAAAGTTCTGCGCATAGCTGCTCAATGGCCGCACCCATCCCAGGGAGCAGGCACTACTCAGACCTCCATTTTATGGATGACGCCCAGGGAGGTGAGGATATGAAATCACAGCTCCTGGTCTGGTGTCCTGGGCTCCAGCTCAGTTAGGCCTTTACCCGAGGAGGGTGTCAGGCATCAGCCGGCCGTGAGGGAGCTGACTGGACCAAGGTGGCAGGACAGTTCGGGGTGTGTTCTCCCCATCAGAGTAAGTGCCTGTTTCCCGCCAGGAAAGCTCAAGCGCTGGTGGAAAGAGGTGAAGCCCCCGTTTTCTGCCCTCTCCTTGCCTTCAACCGTTCCTTCACCCCTGAGTGACCCCCTGAGGACTTGGAGGATGTGACATAGACATGTTCTCTCCCCTGCGGTGCTTCATAAGCACTCTGCACAGCTGTGCTAAGTGACAGTTAAAAATGGTTCTTTTCAGTGGGCTATGCAAAGCGATTCCTCCCTCAAAGCCATGATTCTGGAGCTGGATCTGTTTCTTTTTAATTTGCTTATTTTTATATTTGGAAGAGTTCTCTGGGAGGGGGGCAGGTCTGCAAACCTCAAACTTACTGAAGACTGGATACTTCTTATTAAGTCTTTTAATTTCAGTATAGTTAACATACAGTGTTACGTTAGTGTCCGGTGTACAATGTAGTGATTCAACACTTCCATACGTCACCCGGTCGCATCACGGCAGGTGCGCTCCTTAGTCCCTCCCCATCACCTATTTCTCCCTGGAATGGTTTTAAGGGACAGGGAGCCAGACATTTCTGGATAGTGGTGTAATCAGGGCAACACCCTTATTTATTGGAAAGAAACTCATTTTCCTTCCCTTCTTTTCCATGATGAGCAACATTCAAAAACAGGTCAATTTCCCTTTGTTCCTTAGTCCTGATATCAGCTAGAATTTCAGGTGCAGGGCTATACAGAATGGGCCTATTTGGGAATATTTATTTTGGTTTGCTTATGCTAAACTCCAACACACACTTAATTATACAAAATTTTAACTTAGGAAAACAAGAAAAAAAAATCTTAAGTATAGAGTATAGCAGAGACTTTCAGAAAGCAAGGCAAAAGAGGAGGGGGATGTAGCTCAGTGGTAGAGCGCATGCTTTGCATGTATGAGGCCCCGGGTTCGATCCCCGGCATCTCCACCATGCTTTTTTCTGATTCTTATTTTCTATTCCCGTTCTTCATCATTAAAGCGCCATTTATGTGATTATTACTCCTCTAATCACTACTTGGAGGTGAGATTTTCACGATAGGCATGATTCCGTTTCTGAAACCCATAACACACCTGATGTACTTTTGTTGGAAGGGGCTAGGGGGGGTTTTAGCAGACAAATGCGACAGCAAAGATCACCTGATGACTAAAACCTCAGTGAGAAAGATCAACTGGGGAGGTCACGGTCCTTTTCCTGGCACTGTGACTGCAGTTAAAGGCCCCCAGCACTGGTGACTGATTCCTCGCCATCAGAGGGCAAGTATGAAAGGTCTGACTGTGTTGGCCCTTGCCCTTTATTTGTGCTGTTAATAACCAACCAGCTTGGGAGTGACCCAAAAGGAAACCAGCATTCCCGGCAGGCAGGAGTTTATTTCCTGCTTCATCAGCAACAGGGCACTAATGAATGAATGAGTGAATGAATGGTTTTGATGTACATTCTGTTCATGTTTATATTTACACATAATCTGTATTTTATCATTAAAGATCAAAGATGTGGGGCGCCTGGGTGGCTCAGTCGTTAAGCATCTGCCCAGGGTCCTGGGATGGAGCCCTGCATTGGGCTCCCTGCCCAGGGGGAAGCCTGCTTCTCCCTCTCCCGCTCCCCCTGCTTGTGTTCCCTCTCTCGCTGTGTCTCTCTGTCAAATAAATAAATAAAATCTTAAAAAAAAAAGATCAAAGACGTATTTTATTAAAAGAAGAGATCCTATTGCATTCTGCGGGTCCCGTTCTTTGTCTGCAGTAATAATGAATTCCTCACCCATCAAATCCTGTATCTCATGTGACTTGGCCTCATATTTTAAAGCATAAAAACTTCTCATCTTAGATGTGGGGGGACGTGACTCTGCAAAGCGTTCACTTCTGAGATGAAACTGAAATTTGTGAGATGACTCACACGCGGAGTGATGGCATTTTGGTGAGCTTCTGTGAAGGTTATTTCTCTCCAAACGTCAACAAGGTTTTAAGGGAACAAAATGTTGAGGTAATTTCTAAAGTTATCAGGCCTAACACGAAAGTAATTATATGCTTCTCTTTTTACTTTGTATCTTATAATTAAATATTTCTAATAGCACACTGACAAGCACACACACCATGAGGCATGTTGGGAAATGTAGCTACCTAGAAAAGCTGTAGTGAATCTTTGAAAAACATCTTTTTCAACTATTGCATTTTATTTTACACTTAAAAAAAACCCAAGCTCATTATATGACATCGCTGGAGTAGTCAAATTCAAAGAGACAGAAAGTAGAAGAGTGGATGCCAGGTGCTGGGGGAAGGGGGAATGGGGAACTTTTTTTTTTTTTTTTAAGATTTTATTTATTTATTTGAGAGGGAGAGGGGGAGAAAGAGAGAGGATCTCAAGCTGACTCCACGCTGATTGTAGGGCCCGCTGCAGGGCTCAATCCCCTGACCCAGAGATCACAGCCTGAGCCAAGATCAAGAGTTGGAAGCCCAATGACTGAGCCACCCATGTGCCCCAGGGAGATTTTTTATTATTTATTTTTAAAGATTTTATTTATTTGAGAGAGAGTGTGTGAGTGACAGAGCACAAGCAGGGGGAGCAGCAGAGGGAGAGGGAGAAGCAGACTCCCCGCTGAGCAGGGAGCCCAAAGTGGGACTTGATTCCAGGACCCTGAGATCATGACCTGAGGGAGAGGCAGGCCAGCTGAGCCACCCAGGTGCCCCACAGGGAGCTTTTTAAAACAGGGACGGAGGATCAGGTTTCCAAGATGAAAGAATTCTGGAGATGGATGGTGGTGATGGTTGCACAACAATGTGAATATTGAAGGTAGTAGCATATGCCAGCCCCAAATGCACTTTGATATTACTTTGAGCTGAAGTCACTTGAAAAATAGCAGATAGGAGGAGAGGATGTCTGTGAACTCCCTTTTGTCCTACATGCAGATCCTTCCAACGGGCTCAGCAGTTGTAGAACCCCTCCCCGGAGCTTCATCAACCAGGGAAGACTGGCTCCTGTCACAGGAGAAGAGACTAGAAGTAATGCTGTAGGACAGACTTTAGGGTTTGAAGCCGATGGCAAAGAAAGAATTCTTGAGAGGTCTTTGGTGCAAAAAGGTGGTTTTATTAAAGCACAGGGACAGGACCCATGGGCAGAAGGGTCATGAGGAGTGGCCCATTATATACTTTCAAGTTGGGAGGGGGTTAGGGATAACTTAAGTCTCTAATGAATTTTGGACGC